AATTAGTATTACTCTAAAAAAATTTTTAAAAAAAAACTATTGGGCCAGCTAAATAGCTCAGCAGATTAAAGCCACGGGTTCAATCCCCAGGCCTGCTATGGTGGTGCGCACCTGTAATGTCAGCTCTTGGGAGGCTGTAAACAGGAGAATCCTTGCTCTAGTTGTGAGACCCTGAACACCCTGTAGACCCTCCCCCTAAAAAAAATTACTAACTACTAAAAAATAAGAAAATTCTACTTATCATTGTGTAGAACTTCTAGAATGAAATTGGAAAGCGCATTCACACTAAGACACATAATTTTATTTGGGATTTTTGCTGCTCAAATATGAAGTATCATTTAAAAGTGTTCTACTTTGAAAAGTTCAACTCACTTAGGTTTACTGATTTCTATCCCACGCCCCCAGGATAGATTTGAGTAATTTATTTGGATTTTTAAGAAATAGCTATTAACAATGATACTTTGCTGACTTTCTCATTAAATTTTTAAAAAAACATGTATAGTGGTTAAAAGAACCTGATACTACTTTTCCTACAATAAGTAAGAAAAAACTTCCCCAACTCTTCTTGAAGAAGTAATTTTTTCTCATTGTTTTCTATGGTTTCATTGTTCTCTTTAGGTTTTCATTATGTTGTGTTCTTTTGTGTTTGTATGTGCTTCTAATGTGCATGTGTTTGTGTGCCTCATGGTGTTTGTATGTGTACCTGTGTTGGGAATCAAACTCAGCCTTACCCATGCTAAGCAGGTACTGTACCCCCACATAGTTGTATCCCCAGCCCTAATCTTCTAACTTAAGAGACAGTTTATATTAAAATTTCAAATTATTTGTTTTTGTTTTGGGTGTATGGGTGTGGTTGTATGTTTGTTTATAGACAGGGTCTCACTATGCAGTTCAGACTGGCTTTGAAAAATTCACTGTGTAGCCAAGGCTGGCTTGAACTCATAGTGATCCTCCTGCCTCAGCCTCCCAAGTGCTGGGATTACAGGTGTGTGCACTAGCACACCTGTCTAATTCTTAAGATGAACTCCTTCCCTTTCTTAAATAATCCTTGGTATAATTTGGTTTTTGACAAAATTCAGAAAGAAAATGGTCAGAATTTGTCTTCTAAATTCATTTAATGCAAATTCCTTCCTGCTTATCTTAACATACCATGGCCAAAATAGAGCCAATAATAGCTTTGTTAACAGCTTTATACTTTCAGCTAGATTTTGGCCTGAAGCATATACATATTTTGTAAAATTTCCTTTTGGATCATATCTTGATTTTCAGGCCTGTTTATTTACCCAAAGTTATTTATCAAATCAGTTACTTGGAATCCTTTTTTCATTTTTAAAGTTGGTTAAGAATTCCATTCTGCACTGATTGGTATCTACTTCCTTAGCCTCCTTTGTATCATTTATGGAAATCATTAATCAATGTTAAAAAAAAAAAAAATAGGACTGATTTTCTTTGCCCTGAAACACTGAATAGAATTGTCTGTCTTAGAAGCAGCCCTGATGTTCTGTCCCATCATTTTAGTATTTCTGTGCAAAGTCTGTTTTTTCTCTTTTCATGAAAACTGAAGTATTGCATATTTTTTCAAATGAACAGTTGCACAGGCTGCTTCTACTACGCCAAACTTGGGTGTTCTGAAGGAAGTCTAGCCTTCTGCTTTCAGTGTCTTTACGGGCTCCTCAAAGTTAATTAACTTCTAGTATTCCAGGTAGTCTGTATTTTCACAAACTATTTTAAGCATGCATTTGTAATGTGATGTATTGCATGAGGTTATAGCAGCCAGTAGTTTGCTTTTAACTATTTTAAACTAGATAAGTTACTTTATGTTAGCTTTAAATGTTCAAGTTAATTAATATCAAATAGATATTAAGAGATACAGGTCAGAACTAAACCCAAACTGTGAAGAACATAAGGGTTCTTTTCTTTTCCTTACTCAACCACTTTTGAATGGGTTTCATATATTATTCATGGTAAGAATTAATACCATGGAATTTTATTTATTTTTTTAAAAGACAGTTCTAGGTACACATTTTGGCCCAGGAATAGCTCCAGGCCCACTTCTTCCTGGTCTTTGGAACTTAATACTCTTCTTAGTTTCTTACTCTATTTCATATTTATATCAATTTTGGATTATCTGTATGGCTTCGACGCTATTCCTTGGGCTGTGCTACGTATAGTTTCCTCTACACTCATTGCAGCAGCTCTGAGATTTTTTTTTTTTTTTAATTCTGTCTTTAAATCCTTTGACTACTTTTGAACTCCTAAGCAGAATTTTCAAGTAAATGCTTCTGATTGTTTGGAATTTTGCCTACCAGAATAATTGACACAATTTATTATTGTGACTGACAGCACAATTTCATATTTGTTGTGAAAATGTTGGGCTAACAGTAGTATGTTCACTATTTTTGTGTGCTATACACATTTACAAAATAAACTGAATTATAGAAAAGTACAGTCTGCCCCCACCAGTACTCAACTGGTACAGATCTTTCCTAATCTACTTCTTATAGATAACCAATAAAGATACATATATTATTTTATTTACTCTCCCCAAACATACTGGGTCCCCTCGCTGTCCATACTTCATGTCACAGGACAGGGCTTTGGTGCTTTTTGTTGTCTCTTAACCAGGACATACTGTCACTGTATATCAGACAGTCCTTTCTTCACTTCACTTAATCACTTTCTCCCATTGCTAATTAGCATTTCTAATCTGAAAATCAAAAAATCCAAAGTCTGAAACTTTTTGAGCTCTAACGTGCTGTTACAAGTTGAAAATTCCACACCTGACCTTATGTGATAGGCCACAGTCAAAACACAGGCACACTACAAATGTGTATACCTTCAGACTGTGATTATAAGGTATCTATATAAAGGCCTGCAACATAAGTGAGCTTTATATTTAGTCTTGTGTTCCATTCCTGTGATATCTTGTAATGTCCTATATATGCCACCATTCCAAATTTTTAAAAAATCTGAAATCTAAGGACATGAAGTAAAACATGCTCAATTTATAATTACTTGTAGATGCCACATAATTTTCTGTCATAGGACTCAACCCAGCTTTATATTTATTTGTATAATTAACTCTTACTAGGATCTTTTAGGGGAACAATTTTTTCACTTACTGTTGTATTCTTGGCATGTGGTGTACTAGACACTGACTATTGTTTTACTTAACACACTTAGAAATCCAGGCAAAATATATAAATGAGCAGTTCACAAAAGAAATACAAATGCAAATATATTTAAATACTTTAGCCTCATGCATTAGTGGGAAATAGTATTGAAAGCAGTGACAAAGCGTGTTATCTCCCCTGTGTTAGGGACTTTTTAAAGAATGATGATGCCAAGTGTGTGTTGAAGAGTGTGGCTATTAAGAGGATAGTATCAAATGACACTGATCCAGTCAGGAGTGGTGGTACATGCCTGTGATCTCAGCACTCTTGGAGGTTGAAGCAACAGCATTAAGTGTATTGCCCTGCCTGGGTAATTCATGATGTCGTTAGACCATCTTAAAAATAAAAATTAAACAGTGACTTGTGATATAGCTCCATGTGAAGACCCTGGGCTTAATGGCCCAATACGGCCGAGAGAGGGAGTGGGGAGGAGAGGGGAAGAGAAGGAAAGAGAGGCATAATCCCATTCTTTTTTGTATTATAAAAGTGACTCTGGTTGTATGCTATAAATTCATAGCAAAAATAATGGAAAGATTTTTCCTAGTGTTGATAGCTGTCTTGTCTGGAGAGAGAATCTGATCATAGAGATGGAGGCATAAATGAGTTCTGGACCCCACCTTTGCAGATGTTTTATTATATAGCCTATAAAATTACAAATGAAAATTATGGAAAAAAATAAAATTACAAATGAGTTAAATTGATGAGAAATATGTTGGGGGGGCCCTTCTTTTGGGGGGGGATACAGGGTCTGGCTACGTAGTTTGGACTTATAGTGATCCTCGTGTCTCAGCCTCCCCAGCGGCGTGCACCACCACACCCGGTTTTGGGGCCAGCACAGCATGTAGTACCAAGGATCAAACTTGGGACCTTGCACTTGCCAGGCAGGCCCTTATGCCGCCAAGCTATCACCCCAGCTCAGAGGCCCATTTCTTTATATATGGAAAAGGAAAATATAGGCTAGCAAAACTGGTTTTATCTAGAACTACAAGTAGTTGCGCATTTATTGGAGCCAAAAACGTGATACCAAAAGAATGAGGTTAAATAAGAAGGCAAAGCTAGCCTACATCACTGAGGGCCATCCCTATTTTTTCTTGCATAGTAATGCTGTTAAATATATTCTTAATTTGGGAATTGACATTGGCATTGTCGATAAATAAGTGACTCTTGGGAATGTGCAGTTGACACAAGGAAAGAGATTACTAACCTTTTTGTGTCTGGATCCATTGGCAGGTTTGAGGAATCCCTTTACATTCTTTTATAGAACTGTATTTGGGGCAGGGGACATAGTTCATTGGTACAGCACCTGCCTGGCAAGTGCAAGGTCCTGTGTAAGATAAGATAAAGTAAAATTAACTCAGTAAATAAAATGTAATTGTACTTTGCCATCCAAGTTTAACTTGAAAGCCAATTATATTGGAATTCAGCTAACAGAATATTAGGAAAACAGTATTTATGATATATATCTAGTTTTTCTTTGCTTTGTTCTTTTTTGTTTTGCTTTGCCTTTGAAGTGCTGAGGATTGAATGTTGAGCTCATCCTTTGTCATTTTTTTAGATAGGTCTTGCTAAGTTTCCTACACTTGGCTTCCAATTTATGATCCTGCTGTCTCCACCTCCTAGAGTGCTGAGATTGCAGGTGTGTATGCCACTGCACTCAGCTTAAATGGAATCTTTTATGACTTTTCTGAAATCTATCTATGGACCACAGATTAAGATGAGACTAGAAGTGTGGAGTTCAATTAAGAAATCAGTGTATTTGCAGATAGTGAAAGTTTTGGTGAAAGTATATAACGTCTTTGCATAACTAACTTGCTTTTGATATTACAGGTTTTTGATTGGTCAGGGAGCACATGTAGGAGCTGTCAACAGTGAAGGAGACACACCTTTAGACATTGCAGAGGAGGAGGCAATGGAAGAGCTACTTCAAAATGAGGTTAACCGCCAAGGTAAGATACAAAGCAACTTCAAAGGCAAAATTAGTAAAAATTGCCTTAGAAAGAATATAATATTTTGGTTTTCCTATAAAAGTATTTGTGAACATTGAAGGGTAATAATTTGAAAGAAAAAAATTATCAATAACTTGTACAGTGACTCTTCAATGATTCTCAACTCTAACATTTTAAAAACATGAAGACTATATCATAAACAAGTTTGGGCTTAAAATTATGTGGAAATGTTTTAGAGTAATATACAGACAGTGGAGAGAGAAAGTAGACACAGTGGTTGTTACACATTGCAGATTTAAATACAATGGTTAGGAAGGCCTCCCTGATGAGCCAGCATCAAGATAGATCTGAATGAGATAATAAGTTCTATTAATCTGTGGAAAGAGCAAAAAGAAAGCAGCAAGGATGAGAAACTACCTGTTATATTTTAGAGAAGCTGCAGGTGGGCCTGGATGACTAGAGCGGGCAGTGCAAAGGAAGACCCTGCTTGGAGATGAGGACAGAGATAAAGTATAAGGCCATACATTGAAAAGCCTTAGGAGCCATTGGGAAGAAAGGAGCTTTTGCTCATTTGAGTGGAGTAGGAAGCCATTGGAAGGACTGAGGCAGAGGAGTAACATGAGTGAGTGACTTTTAGAAAGGGCCACTGGGCATTGTGTCGGGTGTAGATTGTAAGGAAGCCAAAATCAGAAATAAACTAAAATAATTAAATAATTCTAATAATCTAGTCAAGATAAAATCAACTTGAACCTGAATGGTAGTAGGTAAGAGGTGAAGAAATGTTGGCATATAGGTTATTTTAAAGGTTTGGCCAAAGTGTGTAAGAAACAGAGGGTCCATGTTTTCTCCATATATGCACTGGAGTTGTTCTGAAAAATTAATACAGATATTCCTTGTTTAATGACAGAGTTCTATGAGTAGATGCTTAAATGAATTTGACACTGAGGAATTATGTACAGTTTGTATAGTTTCAGAGCAAAGAAATGCTCAGAGGAAACTCAGACTTGATTTTATTTGCATAACTGTTACATGCAGTACTGTATCATATGACAGCATAAAACTGCAGGGCTGTGTTAATCAGCAAAAGCTATAGCACTGTATAAATAAGGTGTAGTATACACAAAAAAGCCATCAAGGTTCTATAAACAAAATGTACAGAACTATCTAGAAAAAAAGATGACCTGTAGGTCCAAACAGTCATTAAATGAGGAATATTTGTGTATATCAAATGCTTAGATATGCAGTAAGCACTAAGGTATTAACTATTATTACCAGGCTAAAACTGATTCTGCTTCTTTTCTCACTTTGTGGGATAGCTATTATCATCACTCCCATCTTACAAATGAAGAAACTGAAGCATAACATAAGTTAAATGCCCTGCCCAAATAACACATCTAGTAAGGAGGTTCAGATTTAACCTGTGCATATTCATTATCCAGTTTTTAACCTGGATCTTTTGAACATAATTAACTAGGCAGGGCACTGAAATTAGGAACCAAGTCTCCTAATGTATAGTACTGTAAGATTGTGGAGTGTTTATGTTATTGAATTTTTGATGAATTAGCAAGATCTGTATATTTGTCAGGGTTTTATTTTTTAAGAATAAGAAAAGGATTTTCTTTTCTAACTTTTCTTAAATTTAGAAGTTTCCCTTCAGAAATACTTTTAAGTTTGAGTCTTGTTTTTATATATAAATCCGATACAATATAAGCATTACTTGGAAATAAAAGGGAGTAATTTCTTTGTAATTAGGTAAAGGTAACAAAAGTAGAAAAGCAGTAGATTTGTCTTTAAATTTCAAGTTCAGAGGAAGCAATAGCAAAAGTAAGTATGATTGTTTACGATGGTGAAGATAGTAGAAATATAAAGTGGTACTTGTGTTTTTATTGTGTCGTTAGTTTTATTTTTGCAGTACTAGAGATTGAATGATAATGGACTAAGGCAAGGTAAATAAGGATACAGTTCAGATAGAGGATAATATGGTAGCTTGCACAACAGCACAGAGCTTGGTGTCTTGGCACCTTATGTGGAAATAATAGATCACTGAATGATGGTAGAAGACAAAGACTAGAGTTGCAGTTAGAAAAATACTTGTAGACCAGGTCATCGAAGACTTTGTTACACGAAGAGCTTGAGCATTGTCTCATAGTAGGTGAGCACCGTTGATGAATTTTATATGTGTAGAGGTGATCATCAATTGGGTGTTTTTGGTTTGTTGTTAGGGTCTTTTTCGGGTGGTTGTTGTTGTTTGTTTTGTTTTTTAGTCTGGCAGTAGTGGAGGAATTAATTGGCAACAATTGAGGCTGAATGAGTTAAGGGGCTTTGGCAATAGTTAAAGTGTGAAGTGTAAGGTGTGAACTACAGTTATAGAGTGAGAGAAGACAGCTTGAAATCTCGTAATTGATTAGAAAGTAAAGATAAGGTAAAGGGTAGGATTCTGATGACTCCCAGGTTCAGGGGTATGTTATAGTATCTAGTGCAAACAGTACAAAATAGACATAAAGATTAGTTAGGAAAAATTGGTTAAGATTGTACCATTTAGCTTGACGTGGCCATATGTATTATTTTATTTCTTTTACTTTTTTCTATTCTGGCTCATACAGCCATCTGACTACTTGATTCTAATTAAATGTCTGGGACATCAAACAACGTTTATGAGATTTACAATTTTAATTTTTTCAGTTGCTCAGCCTAGAAACCTGATTTTTCACTTCTCAGTTTTGCCCTTGTCTGTACTAATATCTATATCCAAAGTAATACATATTCTGTTAACAGTACGTTAAAGAATTCAGAATTGAATTACTTCATTACCATCATTGCTACCACTTTGAACCTCTAGTTACCTTCATCTTTTGCTTATATTATTGTAATGGTCTCTAATTTGATATTTTAATTTGAAATCTTAGTGTTCTTCTTAACTCAAGATCCTTCTCTGTTTATTGTTATCTTCACTATTATATATACACCTCAACCTGCTTTTATAAAGAACATTCCATGCAGGCTTTCACCTCAGAGCCTATTAGTACTTCCTTCTGTTTGAAATGTTCTTTCCAATAATAATGTGATTATTTACTTCATTTTTTGCTGTAATGTCATTTAATCAAAGAGACTCTTTTCATCAGTCTACATAAAATCCCCTCTCATTACCATTTTTCTCTTTATCTTCACAGACTAATCATGTTCTGCCATATAATATGTTCACTTCTGTATTCAAGCACTTAATGAAGTACTGTAGCCAGCACATAGTGGGCACTCCCTCAGTACATACTGGGTGAATGGATAGATGGGTAGGAGGGATGGGGGAAAGATCTTGAACTTATAATTGGATGCATGCATATGGACTGTGAGAAATAATGAGTTAAAAATGTGTTGATTGTTTTCATTATTCACTTAGTAAAAATTTACAAAGTCTTTATTTCAAGAGTTTTGCCAGATAGTGGGGTTGCAAGCTTAAAAGACAATATCATTACCTTTAAATAACTCAGAGTTAGTTAGTGGTCTATGCTCCTTAAATATAAATTAAAGATTGTAAATGTATTACATTATGTTATTTCTTAAGATCAGAAAACATTACAGAATTTTTCATGAGTTTTAGAATTGTTTTTAGTAATTTTTTTTTTCTCAAGATACAGACTCTTTGAAGGTAGGAACTAGTGTCCTATTAATTTTTGTATTCTTCCCACTTTTCACTTCAACCTAGCACAGTGTTTATAAATGAATGGACATCTCTATAACTTGTTACATGAAAAATCCCAATGATATGAAGACAATTGTGTGGAAAAAAGGGAAGGGATTTTAGATTGGATAAATTTTAGATGAAATCAAGTCCTCCAAATTTAAATGTTAGTAAACATCTGTATTTACATATGTCTTTAGCAGGCTAGAGTTCAGAAAACTTGTTAAAACAGAAGATAATCTGTTTTAGGATTACTTCTTTAGAACTGTAATTGTTCTAAAGAAACCTTTTCTCCCCAAGGATGCAGCCTTAGTCACATTTCTTGTCACAGAGATAAAATCCTCAGCAACCATAACTTAAAGGAGAGGTTTACTTTGGCTCACAGTTAAAGTTGATGGCCAGCTGGCACCAAGGCACCGACAGCATGGCAGCCAGGAGGCAGAGGGAGCAGGGAGAAGCTAGAGAGTGAGATGTGCCTTTCCAGGGCATGTCCTCGTGACCCTCACCAGTGAATGAATTCCCTGATACAAGCAGTGCTGGTAAATCCAGCCACCTCCAAAAGCCCTATCTGCCTCTACGTGTGTGATGGTTTTAAGGTCATTCTTCATCTAAACGATAACAGATGTTATACTTTAGAAAACATTCGTGTTTTTTAAAACCCATTAATAATGTGAGACAAAAGCTAATCAATAGAAAAAGCTAATAGCTATTCATAGTATTCCCACATTCCTGTATTTATCCAGTGTAGATGTTATAAACAGCCTGTTTTTGATTTTTTTTAAAAAATGACTTTGCTTTTTCTTTGTTTTGTTTTTGCTTTCTTGGTACTGGGAATCAAACTCACCACCTCATGCTTGCCAGGCAGGCACACTTTTACATTTTTAGCTTGACACATTTTGTATACTTTTATTTCTCAGCATAGGAATAGAATATTTTCTATTAGGAAAAAAAAATAATAATTTTTATTTTATCAGGGGTTGATATAGAAGCAGCCCGAAAGGAAGAAGAACGGATAATGCTTAGAGATGCAAGACAGTGGTTGAATAGTGGCCATATAAATGATGTCCGGCATGCAAAATCTGGAGGAACAGCACTTCATGTTGCAGCTGCTAAAGGCTATACAGAAGTTTTAAAGTAAGTTTTGTTTTTAATTCTGCAAACATTATTTTGAAACAGCTTATTAAAGGAGTAATTTAATGACTATTTTCAGAAAGAATGGGAGACCGGGGAGATAGCTCAGTAGAATAAGTGCTTGCCTGGCAAGTGCAAGGGCCTGAGTTCAATCTCCAGTTCCACCAAAAAAAGAAAAATAAATAAATAAGAAAGGAAGGGAGGAAGGGGCTGGGGAGATAGCTCAATAGAATAGTTCAATCCCCGGTCCCACCAAAAAAAAGAAAGAAAGAACTACCTTGAATGTGGTTGCTTTTTGTTTCTCAGGTTCTTTCACGCAAATTTTGACTGTTCTACTCTTGTTCTTTTTCCAGTTGCAGCTTTCTCTTAAGTTGAATGTAAATGTTAGGCAACTATTATGTTGCCTTGTGGACAGATTGTTAGTCATTTTGAGGTTCCCAAATGGACAAACTGGTTCCTAAGACTAATAGCAATATTATGTAAACATCAGACTGAGAGCTTACTATCTATTGAATAATTATTTTCATGTAATTTATTTAAAACAAAATTTTCTTTGTACTACAAAGGCACTAGAGCTCTGAGTGCTAATGGCATAATGTTAAATATGACTATATGGAGCTATGTATTGGTCACCCACTTGCTTGGAATAAAGTCACTTTATATCACAATGTGAACGGGGGAGAGAGAGTGTGTGCGCACACACACTCCTTTTACCTATGCAATGCCAAAGACTTGCCGACTTTATTTATTTATTTATTTATTTATTTATTTATTTATTTATTTCTGTATTTAGGACAGAGTCTACAGAGTCTCGCTACATAGATAAAAATCGTAGTGATTCTCCTGTTTGCAGCCTAACAAGTGCTAGGATTACAGGTGCACGCCACCACACCCAGTCTCAATCGCCGTCTCAGCACACCCTGCAGGCGGGGCCGCATGGCACAATGGGATCGAACCCCAGCCACTGTGTTCTGCCTAAGCAGGTGCTTTAGTCTGCTGAGCTATCAGGCTGGTCCTTGCCAACTATATTTAAAAATGTATTCAGTGCATAACTTTTATTTAATACATATTTGAAAAGAATAAGGGACGAGGGAGATAGCTCAGCGGTCTAAGTACCTGCCTGGCAGTTGCAAGGACCTGACTTTGATAGCATGTCATGTAAGCCCCACAAGCCACCGAAACTGGGCCTGGTGGTACATACCTGTGATCCCAGCCCTGGGGAGGCTGAGACAGGAGGAACACTACGAGTCTGAGCTGTGTAGCGAGACCCTGTGCCAAATGAATGAATGATTTTTTAAAAAAAACAAGGAATAAAGCCAGCCCTTAGCAAGATCTGCACTCTTTATATTGCTTGTAATACATTTGTACTTATACTATCAGTACCTTCCTTATTCCTCTCATCAGTAAAAACAGTAAAATGGGTCACCTGTTCCCAAGTTTCTTATTTTTCTCATTCATATGAAACATAAGCTTTCTCCTAGAAGAGAACATTGCTTTTCAATCAGTTTTCTTTTTCCCCATCTCTTTCTTTTTAATCTAAAATTTCTTAAAACTGTTAGTAAGCAGCCAGGAAATGAGTAGGATGAATTGCTAACAGCAGTTTTTTAAAAATCAGAGTATTCATATAATAGAAGAATTGTTTCTTAAAAATTGTTTTTGTCAACATGTATATGGATAAAGATTGTGTTATGAAGTGAGTTTGTTTTTTCTGTTTCTAAATGAGCTCTGTCATTAGGTTATCAAGGCTCTTAAAATCCTTTAGTAAGATTCTCAGTAGGAACAAGGATAAATGTTAAACTTCACCACTTAGTAGTGAGACCTTTTATCATCTAGGCATTATCTGTTGTTCTGAGCTAAGCTACCACTATTGCACTTCAGCCACTGTATCTGCTTAAATTTCTCTCATTATGTCTTAATACTGAGCCTACTGTTATTTTTGTCTCGATACCTTATCATCTTTATTTAACTCAGAGGCAAATTAAACTTGATCATTTCACAAAGTTCAAATGTGTTATAAATATGGAAAAAATTCAACACCATTCATAATTAAGCATAAAAATAGATACAGTAAGTTGGTGTTTTGAAATCATATTGCAAACATCAAACATTTGGCCTACTGTATCAGAAGAGTGTGGGAGAAAAGAGCTCTTACGATATTGGTGGAAATACAAGTGATAATTGAACAGATTCTGTCAAAGTAATACAGCAGTTATACCTCTATGACTTTTTACAGATATTCTTACCCAAACAGGAAGAAATGAATTTGCTAATAGAATTACGTATAGAGGGAGAGTGGTTTAATAAAGCATTGTACATCTTTTTCCTGGAATATTCTGCAATAATTAAAACATGAATGTGAAACTCCCTTAACATTGTTACAGAAAGTACACTGGGGCATATTATGAAATGTCACAATGAAGAATATGAACATATATTATTGGTCTTTGTTTCCAAATTTAAAAGCTGTATTTGCACATGAAATCTTTCAATAAGAAGATACTCAAAATTAATAATAATGTTATGCAGAAAGAGGAGAAACTAGTTGACCAATGTTTTACAGGGAGAGACTGACGTACCTTTAAAGCTTTTGCACATACAAACACAGGTGTATGTGTGTAGATGGTTCTTATATAAATATGTAGCTGAGGAAGGAGTCTATCAAATGTAACCTCCACCCCCATAAAAATAGAGAATCCCTTTGAATTTAATGATTTTCAGTTCTACACTTCATTCCATCTCCATCACAGAACTGTCCTTGAAGGTTGGTTGTTGTTTTTCTTGATTTTTATCCTCCATTAGAAGTTCCTTGAATACAAGTTCTGTCATTTGTTTTCTTTGGTTCTCAAGAATGTACTGGTGGGGCTTAAAAAATTATTCAATGTATAACTTTTTTTATATAAATTTGAAGGAATAAGGCCAGCCCTCAGCAAGATCTCCACTTTTTATTTCGCTTGTAATACATTTGCACTTCTACTATCAGTGCTTTCCTTGTTCCCCTTCATCAGTAAAAATAATCAAATGGGTCATTTAACCCCAAGTTTCTCGTTTTTCTATCTTTTCTCATTCAGCAACATAGGATTTCTCCTGGAAGGGGAATGAGAGAATCATGTTTGTTGAACAGTAATCTACTTTCTTAGTTCCCTCTTGTTCCTCACACAAGCTCTGAATTTCTTACAGTTTTATGTTGCTTATACATTTAACATTATTATAGTTCACATTGTTAATGGGATACATTTCTATTATCTTATATTCCAGTATTTCTACCTCTGTCAATACAATTTATGGTAATATGTACAATAATAATAGTATTTATTTAATCTCTGGACTTTTCATCTGTGAACCTTTTCTTTACATTGTGGCTTTTAAATATTGCTGTGCTGATGCGTGTAAGCCAGTAGTACAATAATCATAACGGGCCTTTAATCAAAACACAGATTAGCAGGATTCCAACATGCCAACTAATAGCACTGGGGTGCACCTGGAGAATTACTTTTTTCTTCCTCATCAAGTTCTTCAGATCGTTTTCTTATAGAGCCAGGATTGGAGGCAGCTGTTTCAGATGTTGTTCGGAAGTAGGATATCACTTCTGAAAAATAAATATAGAGGAAAAAAATAAAATAAATATAGAGGAGATTATATATTAGCTATCACTACCACTTTCTGTAGGTAAAAAGAAGCCCCTTCTCAAGCTCAACTTCTTGGAAAGTAAGGTAAAAATGTGTTAGATTTTATAAATTGTAAAGTATTTAGCATTCGCCTGTGTGTGGAGCTGTGCTTTATGCAACTTAGAGACCTATTCCTTGCTCTCTTTGAGCATAATTTCTAAATAAAATTAAAGTTAATGGCATTCCGCAATTAGAAGAACATACTAACATTTATGCCACTCTGCATTGTATTAAAATTTATTACTGTTAGCTAGCTTGCTGGTGATTGAAGTATCTGCTTTTTCTACAGAAAAATAAACTGAATCTATTGGAATATGTATTTTGCTTTATTTTATTCCTAAGAGTCACCTTCTTGTTCTTCTTTGGAAATTTCTCACAGAAGATCTTCATGGTTTATGAAAGCTTTCATAATCCAACTCTTCAACTAGAAGGCAACAGAATGTTGCAAGTTTGATTCTGGTATATTTTTTAGAACCCATTTAGCTTGATATAACATATCACATGGATGCCTGAAGGTAGTTCCTAAATAAAGTACATCAATTTTATGTACAATTTGATTTATCAATTTTTGATCTTGCATTAAAAAATTATGGTTTTTTCTTTGAAATTTTCACTTGCAAGTGATACTAACAAAAGTTAATACAAAGTGTATTTGGTAGTCAGTGGTAGTCAGATCAATTAATTAAAATTGCATTGCTGTTACAATGATTCAAGATTCTCTTGTTGTGTTTTCCTAAAAAATACTATTTGCCCTAGTTAAAGGGAACTCTGAAAATAACTATTTTGCAAATTTCAGGTAAACTGCATGGTAGAAAGCTGTTAATTGTGTTTGTTAATTTCTAGACCTTAATGATTATCTAATTCATTATAATTTCTTCAGGCTTTTGATACAGGCAGGCTATGATGTTAATATTAAAGATTATGATGGCTGGACACCTCTTCATGCTGCAGCTCATTGGGGTAAAGAAGAAGCGTGCCGAATTTTAGTGGACAATCTGTGTGATATGGAGATGGTCAACAAAGTGGTAGGCCTTTTAAAATATATTTAAAATGTAGAAATAAAATTTGTGTCAAAGTATAAGAATATCAATTAAACACATGCATTTTTTATCTATAAAGCATTTTGTCTATCAATTGATTTATTAATGAAGACTTTTTCATCCAGTTGAGTGGTTCTGGGCTTGTTCTGCAAAGAAAGAAGTATTCTTTTAGTAATCATACATACAGAGCATATTTGAATATTGCATTGATACTATCTTTAGGGTTCATAATTTAAGACAAATTGTGCATTTCTATATATTTTCTGTCATCACTATGAGTTACAGTGTACGTAGAAGGTTTTTCAGGTTGTCTTTAGCTGATACCATATTTGCATCCTTACAGTGGTTAAGTAACATTGATAGTGAAATGAATATGGTGAAAACCATAAAGTTTTTGGTAGTTTACTTCATACCACACAAGTAAAAGGAAGGCGCAAATGCCTGGCCAGTGCTTTTCAAAAAAATCATGAAAAGATTGAAGTTACTAATTGTCATAGTAGGTTATTCTCTTCTGCTACCTTTCAGATACCATCACTGTGTTAGTGCCAACCACTTCCACTCCATGTTAGTAAATAAGTAGTAAACTTGCTATATCTGCTTCCAACAGTAGTAAGCTCAAAACATGTTCTCTAGTTACCCATTAGCTTCCAAAGAATGTGTCACATACATTGACTTTCATAGGGTAATACAGTAAATTCCTAGCAGAGATTCATAAAATATTCTTTATTTAAAACAGGGCCATTTAATTCTGTTGTGTGCATTAATATGAGAGCTGTTAACTGCAGTTTCTAATGGGGACCTGCAAAATAAAGAAAACAAAGATACATCATATGCCTAAGATTACCCACATATAAATAGTTGGTAATAGAGGCTAGAGTAGTCCTAAGTGTGACATAGAGAGATACAGAGGCTCTCTGAACTCTGTATATTTTAGTAACTGATTTTAAAATGTATTTTACGTAAGTACACAAGTAGAAATTATAGTGAGTAATGAAAATCTTTAGGAAAGTCAAAATGTTTGAAAATGATTCATCCAAATGTAGAGCTCTATACTTTCATGTAAATACAAGTTTTCAGTATGAATTTTTAGTGAAAACTTTAACTTGCTTTCTCTTGCATTTGATTATAGTAGTGTTCTGTGTTATGATTACCATTAGAAGACAAATGTTGATAGTATTTTTGAGTAGAATACCAGGTAACTTTAACCTTATGATTCAATAGATTTCCTCTATTTTCAAGTAAAAATTCTCTCTGCAATTAGGATTTTTCTGAAGAAATTACTGGATCCTTATTATCCTGAACTCTAGCCTGCATTCCAGTTTCTTACCCAGTAACTCAAAGAGCTATGCCTCTTCTCACAGGCAGTGCTAATAACTGATTCATTTACTAGTACTTCATTGGTTCCACATAAGAGCAGAAAAGTGATATTTATTAATTGATTTTTTTTTTCCCCCAGAACCAGGGATTGAACTCAGGCCCTTGCGCTTGCCAGGGAAGCACTTATTCCACTGAGCCATCTCGCCGGCCCCTGATGTTTATTAATTGAAATTGCTTTCCAAAAAGGCTATATTACTCCTAGTTTAAACATGTTAATAAGGGGCCAGGGAGATGGCTCAGTGGAATAAGCGCTTCCTTGGCAAGCACAAGGGCCTGAGTTTAATCCCCAGTTCCACAAGAAAATAAAAATAAATATATAAATAAACGTGAATATTTCCTTGCCTGAACTAGTAATCTAGTGAAACATATGTAACATATAGAAGGTATGAGAAAAATATCTAATTCTTAAATATAGTTCATCGTAGTTATACACTGAAAGAATATAAATAAAATTTTGTTTTATAATCAATCCTTTTGTCTATATATACCAGGTTTGTCTTGGCTGGGGAGATAGTTCAGTGGCATAACTGTCTGTTTGTCAAGCCCAAGGTCCTGAGTTCAAACCCTGGTACCAGGAAGATGGGGGGAATATATATATATATACACACACACTCCAGGTTTCAACTACATTTCTGACCTTTTTTATATATTTTAAGACAAGCTCTCACTAAACTGCCTATGCTGTGCTTGAATCTGTGATTTGCCTGCCTCTGCTTCTCGAGCACTTTCAGTTGAATTTTATATAATATTGAAATAATTATGCTTCATAGTTCCCTAGAGTTTTGTATTAGTCTTTGTTTTCATGTTTATTATCTAATGTTACCCTTTCAGCAGTGATATGAAATTGTAAAGCATTTTTCCTATTCAGGATTATTGGGAGGTTTTTGTTTTAAAAAAGGACAGTGCTGGGGAGATGGCTTAGTAGAATAAGTACTTGCCTGGCAAGCGCAAGGCCCTGAATTAAATATCCAGTCCCACAAAAAATAAATAAATAAATAAATAAATAAGGACTCTGCTAAGTTCCTCTGCTCCTTTCTCTTAGTCTTACTTCTTTTTCAGATGCTCATTTTCATAAAAATATGATTTTAAATTTATACTGGATCCGAGGCCATGCCATCCCAGGGCAGCTCCATTCTGTCCCAGAACTAGGTGTGGTGGTACACAGGTGTAATCCTAGTACCTGCGAGGTTGACACAGGAAGATTGCTGAGAATTCGAGACCAGCCTAGGGGCTACAAAAGGCCAGCCCAAACTGCATAGTGAGATCCTGTTGTGGGGGATCAGGAATTAAACTCAGTACCTCATGCTTACCAAGCAGGCACTGTGCTGCTGAGCTATATCCCTGGGCCCAAAATCAATACCTTAAAAACACTTTATTAAAAAGCCTTTGTTCATTAAATGCATCCAAATAAAGGGTTTATCTTTTTTCTTAAAAAATTGTGATAGATTTTTTAGTTTCTCTTAATTTTTAAAATTTTGACAAATAACTTTGCCTTTGTACATTAGGGTAGCTTCTGTTTTCACTGGCTACAGGGCAATCACTTTGTCTTAAGCCTGGCTATATAAATTTGTCTTGTCCTGTTACACCTTCAGTGGTACTTGTAGCAGAAAAAGCTTTCAGAAATTTATTTTTAAAATAGTCAGATACACTTACACTATCAGACAAGTTCATCAGTAATAGGCTTGAATTTTGGAAAATCATATGTAATATAGAAACTACAGTAAATCCTGTAGAAAACCTGAAATTCTTTCTATGTTACAAATAGGAAAATGTTCCAAAAGTGATTATTTAGACATTTTGATCTTACTTATTTAACTTATTTCAGCTGTAAAACATTTACTATCATTTTAACTACTGTAAACTATGTGATACTGATTTTAGATATAAAGATGCTTTTGCTTTCTTATTACTAAAGCAGTTGTTTTCCTGTCTTAAAACTGGGCTGCCTTTTTAGTTGCAATTTCTTTTAAAGTGTTCATACAATAACCAGCAGACAAGTTTCTAGCTTGGTAACTCATTGTAAAGTTGCAAATGAATCACGAAGATCTTCCTGCTACTAACAACAAGCACAAGGGTTTTTTTAACCCTAATTCAGTGTGAACTTAAATTTATTTACTGTAAAGATAAAATGAGATAACTAAAATGGTAGAGACTTTGCCTTCATTACCTTCCTGACTTGGGCAAATATCCAACACTTAAAAGTTGGGTTTCCTCACCTGTACAATGGAAATTGTAATAACTTACATCTCAACTACTTTACTGGTGGTTGTGAAGATGAAGAAAGATACATCTACAAAAGCAATCCATTTATAGTAACTGAGTAAAGAAAAGCAAAGAGATTATGAAGTTAGACTTCAACAATGACTGCCCTGGTATACTGAAGGTATACTGAACTGTTTTTTTGTTTTGTTTTGTTTTTTAAGCAGCCTGTTTTGCTTGAGTTTTTCATTTAAGATAGTTCTCTTAATAGAGTTCTTACTTTTTTTCACCTTAGAATTGTGTCCTCGGTTGTTTCTTGATTGCTTTGGACATATCTCACTGCATTTATAATCCTTTAATGAGGTGTAGTAACCTTGTAGTAGTTAACAAGTAATGCTTACCATTTCACAATTGTTTGTAATTGTAGTATAGATTATTTAAAGAGTGTGGTTAAGTTATTAAAGTAGCTATGCTTTTTCAAAATTATATATTATAGCCTACATTTTACTGTAGTTTGTATTCTCTGTGCTGCTGTTTACAAAGTAAACTTATTCATGAAGGGAAAAAAATGAAAAGAAAGGTTAATCTGAAAGCCTGATTTCTTAAACAGGAAAATTCCCTGATTATTAAAATAATTTCATTGATTGCATTTAACTACTACAGAAATTTAATTACAATTAAAAATGTTTTTCAAGGTGCTATCTCATTCTATCTCATTCTTAATGATTGAGAAGCATGTAAAATAATATTGAAAAGGAAGTCAGTGAAGCTGGGCCTAGTAGCACATGTCTGTAATCCCAGTACTCCAGGAGGCTGGGGCAGGAAGTACTCAAGTTCAGGCCCGAGACCTAAAGGTCTGGAGAGGTTTGGTGTAAAGGTCCAGGTTGGAGAGAAAGTGAGGGAAGGGTTATTGTCAGTGGGTTATTTCGTGTGATGATATGATCTTGACTGCCATGTACAGTATGAGTGTAGCACTTGTAACATTTGAGCTGATTAAAAAAAGAATGTCATATGGCAGAAGTAGAATTAACATTGCTAGTTCAAAAGGAGTCTTAAATCTCTGAGCCATTTCGTAACAGTTTTTTCTTGAAGAATTGTTTGTTTTTAATTTTCACAACTAGATGGGAAGAACTTATTAAGTGTGAAGCTTTTCATCTTAATGTGGGTGGGGAAGAAGAAATTACCTCTTAATTCCTGCTGAACTTTTCTAGCCAAGAAAGCCAGTAGCTCTTCGAGGGCCGTCTAGTGTGGTGGCATGTGAGAGGCTGAAAACAGGAGGATCACTATGAGTCCGATCTGTCTATGAGACCCTATAGACTAAATACATTTAAAAAAAACATATTTGAAGTTTTCTTTTCCACAGTGAATACACATTGTGTGACAAATACTCATGTGGACTAAATTTTGAAATAAAACAATACTTGTGGCTGACTGAACTGCGTAACAGCAGTTTAGAAATATATTTTTACTATGTTGGTCTACCAAGAATGAAGTTTTAGGAAGGTATCAAAAGAGGGCCTTAAAAGGTTATAACTTTAGTAAGCAGTATGACCCAGTGATTCTACTCCCAGCAATATAGCTACGAAAATGAAAATGTCCACCAAAACCTTGTACATCAGTGTTGATAGCAGCATTACTTATTACAGTATAGACGAAAAGCAGATATTCATCTGATGATTATACTAACAAAACTCGTACAGCATGCACTGGAATCTTATTTGTCAGTTAAAACGAGTGAAATAGTGATACATACCATAACATGAATCACCCGTGAAAATATGCAAAATGAATGAAGTCTATCAGAAAGGACCATATACACACGATTCCATTGATTCGTGATTTCTAGCATAAGCATAATCCACAGAGCAGATTATTGGTTACCATGAGCTGAGGGTAACGGGAAAATGAGAGAGAAAGCATGTTTTTGTCTTGGAGGGGGGGGTGCCATAAAATTGATTATGAGGCTGGTTCTATAATTTGTGAGTATACTTAAAATAGTATTGAATCATATGCTTTAATTGGATGATATTATGGTATATGAATTATATATTAAGCTGTTATACATGGGAGATACCACAGTAATTTCTTCTCATGGGTTTCTTATGTATTTCTTTTGAGTTATGTGTGTTATCTCATGTAACTATAAAAAAAAGATCACTAACTTCTTTCTGTGCAGAAATTACTGAAGGCACAGAATTACTGAAGACATACTGTAACTTGACTGTTTGACTCTCACTTCCCTTGTTTCCTGCCTAGGGCCAAACAGCCTTTGATGTAGCAGATGAAGACATTTTAGGATATCTAGAAGAGTTGCAAAAAAAACAAAATCTGGTATGTTTAATGACTACCTAAAAATTATCTTTAGAAGTGAATTTTTCTCATAGCTTTGAACCTCAGTTTAAAAACTGTTCTTATGATAATGTGCTTTTTTAATTTTAATTTAGTTTTATCAATCACTAAATAATCATGAAAGAGATGATGGTGATAGTCTTAGATTGTTTATCTCTCTTTCTATTTCCTTTCTTTCACAAAATAAATCCTTAAATAATCTGTATGTTCTCAACAATAACACATTCTTGTAATTCCTGGACACAGTTTATTTCAGAACTGTAGACTGTATAATCTCAGATGTCTAATAGCAGACCATACGTAAGCAAGGAGTTGTATTACTGGGAAACTAGACTTTTAAGTAAAATGCTGGGTTTTTTTGTTTTTGCTTAACATTTGAAACACTGCTTTGTTATTTTAAACTCTGTGTTTCACACATAATATCTCAATGGTATTCTTATTTTTCTTTGCATAATTTTGTATAAAGCTCCACAGTGAAAAACGAGATAAGAAGTCTCCATTAATTGAATCAACAGCGAATATGGACAATAAAAAAAAGTAAGTAAAATATAAAAAGCAGGCTTAAATTATAAATGCATTGTTTTAATGACCACAGGAATGGTTATTATAGATCTGGGGGGAAATCCAATGTATTTTAAGCTTTTATGTTTATAATCATTTGAAAGCTGTTTTCCTTTCACAGCAAAGAAACATTGATTATTGAGCCAGAGAAAAATGCATCGCGTATTGAATCTCTGGAACAAGAAAAGGTTGATGAAGAAGAAGAAGGGAAGAAAGATGAATCCAGCTGTTCCAGTGAAGAAGATGAGGAGGATGACTCAGAATCAGAAGCTGAAACAGGTAAAATTTGAAGAATAAGTGGATTTTCACTGAATTTTGTTGCAATATGAAGTAAAAATATGAGCAAACTTAATTTTTAAGCTTTTCAAATATATTTGTTATTCAGTTACCTGCCAAACCAGTAATTACGTTTCAGAGAATATCAGACACTTACAGATACTAAGTGTCTGTTACTATTAAGTGTGAGTTTGTAGTTCTTTAATTATCGAGAAGCACTTCTTCATCCCTGTGTTTTTGCTCTATATTTTAGATTTAGAGAAGGTGCTGAGGCTTTTAGACTTTCTTAAGATTATACAGATGGGTATGAGTAGGTCCCTAGCAATTCAGAAATGCTCCTGTTGTTTTCTGAAACCAAAGCCCAAGCAAGGTTATTCCAGCAGGATCTTAAACTTTCTGTAAAAAATGGTAAACTGGGGATTGATCAAGATACTTTCTTGGGGAGCTAGGAATTTAGCTCAACAGTAGAACCCTTGCCTAGCAAGCTAGAAGCCCTAGGTTCTGTCCTCTGCACTCAAAACAAAACAAAACAAAACAAAACAAAACAAAACAAAAAGATACTTTCTTGTGAATGTGTCAGGGAATTTGCTTTGCTTTGCTTTGCTTTGAGATGGATGGATAGATGGATAGATAGATAGATAGATAGATAGATAGATAGATAGATAGATAGATAGATAGATAGAGGAAAGCAGAATAAGCATTCATTTTTAGCTACTAAGCATTGAAACTTAATTGCTGTTAACATTTAATCATACTTCAAAGTTTTCTTTTGCAATAGCCCTGGGTTCAACCCTTAGTACCAAAAACTGAGTGAATAAAATAAGAAAATATTAATTTTGTCTTCTTTACCCAGAACCTTAATCTGCTCTCTCTCCTTCTTTCCTAAAGGCAATTATTATCATGATTTTTTTCTGTAACCTAGTCCATGTTTCTAATCTTATATGTATACTCATAAGTAATACATAACTACTGTAATACTGGTTGGTATTTACTTTCATACACTAGTTTTATGCATCTTTTTTTTAGATATGTCCATAAATCTATAGCTTTGTCTACATTTTGATCCCATTAACTATTTAATAACATTAAAAAAAATATATCCATTTTCCTTCTGGTTAACATTTTCCTTATTCTCATCTTTTTGTTGTTTTAAATAATGCAGCAATCATGCTTCCTTGTATAATATGTGAGAGAATCTTATGAACTTAGAAATTGAGTACATTAATCATAGGCTGCACAAATTTTCACTTTTCAAAATTGTTTTATAATGCTATATAAGTATTAATTTCCTTTTTACTATTAAGAATATGGGGGCTGGTGAGATGGCTCAGTGGTCTAAAGCACCTACTTAGAACAAGCTAAGCTAAACAAAGCACAGGGACCGTGGTTCAATCCCCCAG